CTTGGGCCAGTCACTCTCTCTCAGCCCTAGGAAGGAGGCAATGGCAAACCGCTTCTGAAAATCTTGCCAAGAAAACTGCAGGGATTTGTCTAAACACTGACTTGAAGGCACCTCCCCCACTCCAAAAAACAACAACGACAACAGTGACTAGTAATGCTTCTTTGGGGGTTGAGTCCTGATTTGGAATGCTGGTGATTGAACTTGGTCTCTTTGACCTTACAAAGGTGACAAGCAAGGTCCTGTATGGTCCCATAGTCATTCCAATAGGAAATGCCACAAGGAATCTCCATAGAGAACCTAATCTCCATAGAGATCAATCTTCATAGAGAGTCTTGCCAATCTCCATAGAGAGCCCTGCCCTGCCCTGCTGTGAGCATGTGGGTTATTTTATTCCTACTAAAAGGAAGAAAAAACCAAGAGTTAGTTTTGAAAACTCATCAGATTTTTTTTTTGTTAAAGGAAACTTAAATGCTAGCCAGACTTTGTTCCGACTAGCATTCAACATGCTGTGGGAGTAAAATACCCAAATTTGTTCTCAGCAGAATCCATTGCAAAGTTCATGAAATGTCATAGAATCAGAATGGATGGGACTGAGGGTATCGTGGAAATACCTCTTATCTAATAAGTCCACCCTCTTGCCCAGTGTAGGAATCCACAATTCTTTTACATTCCTAGCTATGAAAGGCTAGGAATACTATTTCCAGTATGGGAGGCCATATATTTGCTGAGAAACACAACGAAAAGGCTGCTACTGTGCTCACATTCTGCTTGGGCTATTTTCTTAGATCCTTATATTACATTTGCAGGATTCCTGCTGGTGTTTGCGATGGTATACCACACCAACTAACTACAAAAAAGAGCAGGTCATATTCACTGTGTATGTTCAGTGACAGAGTAGATGTCAAGGGAACTACTAGATACACTAGAAGAAATGGAAGCATTTAGAGGTCTACAAAGGTGATTCATAAATATCGTTATAAATATGAAGCCATATTGCACAGCATGAAAACACCTTGCAGAAAGAATGAAAGGTGAACATATACTTAAGAAAATCACTCGGCCTATATTATACTTGTACCATTTATCAGGGTTTTTAAGAAAGAAAAGGTATAAATCTGTTTAAATCTTAAAAAGGCTGATGAAGTTGTAGTTAAAGAAATATAATTATTTCTAACACTGCAAGACTTTTTTCTGGAAGATGCAGAAGTCAGACTATTTTCTAAATGGGATGCCTCAATAAATTGTTGCCAAACATTTTAGACCAACTAGTGTACTGCACTGACTACATTAGTTAAACTTCAGATTTTATTTTCAGTACTTGCTATTTGAAACCAAATAGGAAAGAAGTCACTCTCTTTATGGATGCTATTCTAATTCAAAATGTATCAGTGAAAGACCGTGATAAAATCTAGTAAGCAGAGAATTAGAATTAAGTAGAATTATTGAATCTGGATAGTCTTTCAGATATCTCATAGGCTATAACTCCTTGGTGATTTTACCTGATAAACAGAATGATTTAGATTAAGACTATTCAGACTTCAAATAAGAATGAATGAGTGATAAAGTTCTACCAAGCTGCTCATAACAGGCACCTCATCATGAAGCTCCATAATACAAATAATAAGGATATACTTACGTTTGAGAATGTGTGGATAGCATTGTTCTCTGGTTTAGTCACTAGATGGCACTAGATTTAACTGCATCAGGATCAAGTTAGGAATTTCCTGCTGATGTTTGGTTTACAGCAATTTATTTAGATAATAAAGCTCTTGTCTTGATCCCTAACGTCTTTGCCACCTAAGCATATACTGATGATGATAATGATGATGATGATGATGATGATGATGATGATGATGATGACGACAGCAACTATTATCTCTCTAAAAATTAATTCAGTGTCCTCACGCCTATAATTTTGGAGCAAAATAGGTCCACTGAGTACCAAGAGGAACATTTCAGCAGGCTCAGGTGAATTCTGAGATATGCAAAGATAAGGTTAAAAGGGGAGGAATTCCACCCCATAAAAGGCCTGTGAAACTGAAGATGCTCACTGGCCTCTAGCAGTTACTGTAGATTGGGTAACCATTCAGAAACAAATGTAGAACACTGAGAGGAGTGAACTGACTTATTTGCATCTTTAAGTGTTTATAACAACTGCTTTCCTCCAGCTGATGCCTTCCGGGTATGTTGAACTACAATGCCCATCATTCTTATCTAGCACATATAGAAGGTAACATGCTGGAGAAAGTCAGTTATATTAGTTTGCAGAAATGTACAGCTAATTACATGCTGGCTGGGGAATTCTGGGAGTTGAAGCCCACACGTTTTAAAGTTCCTAAGGTTGAGAAACACTGCACTATACCCTTTGTGGGAAGAGCACAGAAAAGAAGAAAGAACTTGTAAGCCAAAGAAGTTAAAGACACAAGAAAAAAAGAAAACATGCCTTAAACTAATTTACACTTACACCATAACTGTACATACCTTTCTATCCCTGCAAACAATCCATCCATGTACTGCTTCATGCATTGTCTTTTGTTCTTTAAATGCCTCACCTCTGTTTCAGGTTCTCAACAACTCCATTGAACCATAACTTTCTCAGACTTTCCTTTCCACTCTTCCTTTACATATTTGTTTTGCATTTGATCCTCATTCTTTCTCCCTCTATGATCAAATCACCTCACTGTATGGATTATTCACTTTTATATCCAGTCCATAATCACTCAGCATTCATTCACGCATCAGCTTCTCTTCTTGTTTCACATGCACGGTTCTTAAGTACCCCATTCCCATTGCATTTAACTTACATTGTTCCTGATGCACCAAACTCTCATTCTATGTAATGTCAGGGGAAAAACCTCGTCAAGTACGAGAGACAGACACACCAGAACACGGATCACTTCAAGGTTCTAAAGATTTTATTAAGTGTTAGTTCAATAAGCAAAAACATAACATACTTACTTAAATTCCCATTGCAATGAGGACCAGCATGGACAAGCGGCTGAATAGACAGCTTGAGGCAGAGTGGCCCCGAGCCCCTCCCAGCAATCCTTTTTATCCTTCAAAACCACAAACCACAATCGTGACTCTCAGGTTTTTGCAACTGGTTTGCAACCGTTCTTGGTGCTAACTTTACTACACTTCCCTGTTCCTTTAGCTTGCCACATTCCTCCCATCAGCGTTTTTACTTGTTTCTACAGTTTTATGGTTTTGTGTTCAATATAGCTGATACGGGACCAAAAATTGCAGTTCACACAGCATTTTTTATTTCTTGCCATATAAGCTGATTTTTATTATAGCATCATCATTTACTGCTTAAAAGTGAGTTTATATGTTTCAATTAGCCAAGCATAGCTGCTTTCATAGTCATATTCTTCTCACAATAACAAGGTTGGCAAAAGTATACTCTAGTATACAACGATTTTTGCTTCTTTCAATATTCATTCCTCATAACAAACCATGTCCTATCCACTACCTTTGTAGACATTTTTCTAAGCAGATATTCACCAGTCATCTTTCTCATGTATTCTTGGGGCTCATAATAGCTCATTCTGCATGTGTTTGCCTCAGTCCCACCTACATATTTATGTCACCCTAGCAGATTATTTCTTCTCCTTGGATTGCATTAATTCAGACTATTGCACAATATTTCCAAAATACATCTCTGGCTTCTCCTTTATTATCATTCACTGAAGTGTGACATTCAGCTATAATTAACCTATGGATTTCTACTTTCAAACACACCCACAACATTCTAGAGAAAATCAATTCATACTTTCTGACATACCCTTTCATTCACAATTAAGCCTACACCTTCCCTTCAAGATCAGACAACACTCTTTCAGTTTGTTTATATGCTTTTCCTTTCTCTTCATTTCACACACATACTGTACATTATAGCTACAGTGTTTTTTTCATTCACTGATGAATTCATGTTCATATGTATTCCTCTTGCATTCCAAACTTCCTTGTACCATGGTGATCACTAGATGGCCCTTTAGATATTGACCTCCATTGCCCATCATGGTATTGGTCAACTGAGGTTTCATATAACACTTTTTAATAAGATAGAGAAGATGTAGCCTAGCTTAACAGCCTTAACTGGTAAACTGGTACCCGTACCACATGCAGCATTCCCTACTAACAGCAAGGATGGTAACCAGTCACTTTTGGCCCATTTTGGCCAGTATGCCACAAGTGCAATCAAAACCTAGGTTTACCTCAAGCATGCTCACAGTTTTCTGCACAAACCAGAATCTGTAATCCAGAGACTACCTTGCAAGCAAAAATACTGCTTTCACATCCAACCAGCTAGGATGGATATGTAATGTAATGCCACATGTATAACTAGCTGATTATTGTAACACTGAACAGGCGTACTTCTATCTGGGAAAGAAAGATATATTGAAGTTGCATGTCCCACCTGTATTTTTTTGTTTGTTTGCTTGCTTGTTTTTATTTGTGCCAATGAACGGGAATTATATCAAATAACCATAGTCCCCGTGTATTGCCCCCTCTCTTCTACACTGGCACAGACAGATAGGAGCAGCAGTAGCAGCAGCAGCAATGAAAAGAAGGACTCAGATGAAGTGCCCCAGAGTCTGAGGCCATGTATTAAACCCAGCTACTCGCTGACTGATGACACACTGATCCAGGCATTGCCATACAGTCAGCATTTTTTCTTTCTGGCTGTTTGTTGCTGTGTTGCAGTCAGGGGATATTCTCGCTGCCAAGCTACTGGAAAGAACACTGGCTTGGTGGGCATTGGAAATGGAAAGTGACACCCCTTTTGCCCTCGCCAGCAGAAAGCTGTGTGGTACAGTGATTCAAGCAGGGAGTTATAAATGGCTCTAGCAGAACAAACGTGCAGTGGCTGTGAATGAGAAGGCATGTTTGCTGGCTCGCTTGGAAAAAAAAACTAGAGGCCACTGGAAGAGGAGGAGGGGAGAGAGAGTCTATCACCCAGAGATATTCTTATTAATATCAAACAAATGGTGGAGGGGGTGGGAGGGGGTCAAAACCAGGCACAAGGTAGGAAACTGGAGTTTCACAGAGGTTTTGGCATTATATAGCCACTGACTCTAAACTATCGAAAGCCGCTGAGCTTTTTCTCAGATTATGGCACTGCCCAGGATTTCCCTGCGTGCTTCCCAAATCAGCTGTTTGTGGTGTGAGGGTGGAAGGGGGGGAGATCCTGGTTGAGGGGGAGCACTGGGGGATGGGCAGTGACAGGATAGGGCCTCAGCCCAGCACTTCCCAGTGTCAGGCAGCGCACTGCTAGTCTTTGCACAGATGGGTGCATCAGCTCCAGCCTCCCAGTCTTTGGATGGGGAGCGTCTTTCATTACCCAGCATTCTGTTTTGTTCTGATTCCTGCTAAAATATCTCTCCCCTCTCTTTGGGGAGGGGGAGCAGGGAATCTGACTTGCCTGCCTGGAAGGACAGTCCCATAATAATCTGCTGCACAAAAGCCACCTTTTTGCCCTCCCCAGTCATTCAGCTAAGCATCTGCCGGCTGAAAACAAAAGACTCTGAAACAACAGTGCAATTTTTAAAAGAAAAAGAAAAGGAAAGAAGTCCCTCCTTAGCTTTTGGGATGCAAGGAGGACTCCCCACATCCCTCCCGCTTACAACAAAGGCGGCACTCACAGAATGGTGCATTTTGGACCTCAGAGGTGAAGCTCGGCAGATTCCACAGCAGGGCTAAAAGAGGAGAGCCATCCGTCGGCCTTTCTCAGTACTGGTTGCACCGCATACAGGATCATGTTTTGATTACAAAAGCCCTGACTGGGCTCCCAGCCAAAAGCACCGGCTGCCTCATATACGAAAGCAGAGGCAGGCAATCAAAGCGCTTGTGTCCTCCTCTTCATTCGCCTTTCAGTGGGAATGCACGCGCCCTTCGCTTCTCCCTGGGATACCTTTACAATCCTCGTTGTCGGAGTCCACATATGGCGCCTCCGACTAGGAGGAACTGGAAAGACTGGGAGGGTGAGGTGTCTTTGCCCACCAAGAGCTAGGCTCCACAGTCTTGGCACTTATTTGCCTCATGAGCGAAACATACAAATGATTGTTAGGTGAATGCTCAGAATGATGTGGAGAAGCCTGTCAATCTGAGGTCCATTTTTTGTTTCTTGATAAAAGTTTATGTCAGCAGAGATGGCGAGGTGCTGGAAGACTGGAGAAGGAAAAACAGAATCCCAAATTCAAAAAGGGGAAGAGGGAGGATCAGTGAAACTGCAGGCCAGTTAAAGGTCTATATTTGGCAAGGCACTGGAACAGACTGTCAAGTAGCATGTTTGCAAGTCTTTCATAAGGAATGCTATCATTATTAGGCGCCAGCAGGGCTTTCAAAAGCATGTTGTGTCAGACTAACCATGTTGCTTTTTATGATAGAAGGACAAGCTTGACAGGCCAAAGGAATGCTGCAGATGATGTGCACCTTGATCTTGGCGAAGCATCTGACAAGAACTCTTGGAAGCCAGTTTGGTCTAGCGGTTAAGGCTCCAGGCTAGAAAGCAGGAGGTTGTGAGTTCTAGTCCTGCCTTAGCCCTGAAAGCTGGCTGGGTGACTTTGGGCCAGTCACTTGCTCTTAACCCAACTCACCTCACAGGGTTGTTGTTGTGGGGAAAATAGGAGGCATGCTCGCCACCTTGCGCAATTTATAAAAATAATAAAGGCAGGATAAAAAAAAATCTAAAAAAAAGATTCTTGGACAAGATAGATAAAATTCAGTTGGATGGATTTGCAGCTGGCTGAGCAACCACATCCAAAGGGTTCTGCAAAGTGGGGCAGGAGAAGTGGTCCATCCTGGATGCAGGCAATAAGAGGTGCATTGTCTGAGGAGACTATCCAGAGGGTCAATGGTGGCTGTGGGCTGGGTTACTGCTGCCAGCATGCCAGTCAGCTGTTTGGCAGTCAGCAGCAGGGTGTAGCACTGGAGATGGAGGGGGTGGGCTGGTGATGGTGTGGTAGGTAATAGCTATTAAGCAGTTAAACCGTCTGGCTGGTGCAACGGTAGACTCTCCATTGCTAGAGGTTTTCAGATCGGGGTTGAAAGGCCACCTGTTTGGGACAATTTAGTAAAATCCTGCGCTGAGGTGTACGACACATTCCAGTTCATACATTCAATGATCCTCTGATTACCACACCTTCCCTATGTTTAAAAGTCACAGAATCATGCCAGACAGATCAGTTCACCTGACCTAAGGCACCTTCATTTAAAATCATTTAATATTCTGTATCCCCGGCCACTTTTTGGATGAAACTATTAGGAAGATGAATAAAAAGTTGAAAAGGCAGAGGCTTTTGTATGCTGTTTACCCTGGTCTGCTTTCATAAGGTTTCAGTCTCTTTGCCAAGCAGGTAATGCCCCATTTACCTTCACTCGTCTCAGCCATGGACTCCACATCTGTATGAGGGACAGTGACGTGCCATGAGTCTTCGACAAAATAGACATTGCCCTGGTTACCCCAACACCCTAAGGCATAATGCAGTTTGTATGGTTATGGCTTAGCATGATAGGTGAACATGTTCTACAAATGGGCAGTGTTGAGCTCCAGGGTTTAGTGACTGTGGTCTGGACAACAGATTTCCTGGTGTTTGGCCAGCAACTGTGGTTGGCACCTTCAGAGGCAAGGTGGTCTGCTGTGCAGGTCAGGTCAGCTGGCTATAAAGACAGGAGCCCAGTCAGTCCCTGCTTAGTTGCCTGTGGCTGTGAAATCCTACACCAGTATATTATTCTACAGATCTTCATTAAACAAATAAAAGTGTCAAAAGAAATGGTGGGTTCATTGTATCACTGGTGTTCTTTCCTGCAGGTAATGTTATAAATGTTATTTTTATATCTTACTTTATGTGTCTTTTTTTCTTCAGTCTTGTTCTTAGGACCATATTGCATGGTAGACCACAGTCCAACAGACTCTCCCAAGGACACATGGGGAGCAGCAAAAGACTGCTGAACCCCACCTTCCCCAACTTGAACTCCAGATGTGAGCAACTTAAGTTCTTCTGATTGCCAGACACTGTGGCCAAGGACTGTGTTGGCTGCAAATTAAAGGGGCTGTAACCCAACATGGCTGGAAGATACTAGATTGGAAGGAGTTGCCTTGCTTTTCCCCTCTTGGCCACTATCACCTCCATTAATCAGATTTTCCACTTAGGAGAGAAGATATGAGTCTTCATATTGGTTCCCAGTGGAAACATGAGTAAAGATAATGGGTTAGGTATGGCCTCTCCCTCCTTCATTCTTCCACTAAAATTTATAACTCATAACAATTATATCACCAGGAACTTCTGGTATGCTTAAAACTAACTTAACTGTAAGGGATTTGCTGTTACTACTCAAGAGATTTCTTTTCAATTTTTATTTTGCTTTCAGACGACCAAAACAGATACTTTATGCAGTCAGATTGACTTTCATTTCCCTTCGTTTTGTTATGAATAAGAAATCACATTTTGTCATTTTCCAGTAACTAAAAGGACCAGAGGATGGGGACAGAAATGTTGGGTTTCAGCCTGCAGAAGCAACCCAGTGTTCAAGTTCAGACACAGGGTTAGACATCCTTACTACTTCCCCCATATCTAATGTATTGGCAGAAGCAGGTGCAGAGACTCAACATATTCATTCTACAATCCTGCAAGGGCTGGAGGAGCAAGCTCGTATTACATTTCACTCTGGGGCAAGTATTTGGATGGAAGTGTTGACTCTGATTTTCAGGCAAAAATTTTAAATGTTACTTCTGCGTCTTGTCCCCAAATGGGTGGTCTCATTTGGGACGTACGTACACACATTCTTTTTAAAACTCTATTTTCTTTTCCACTGCCTTTTTCAATCTGGTTGCAAGTGGATTTTTCACATTTATTTATTTATTTTTCAGTTTATTTACGTATGTATTTATTTATTTGCCAGGCAGTTCACCACATTTATGGTGATGATGGCAATGATTATAATGTATAATCATATTATACATATA